TGAGCGTTCTAGCCGGGAAAAGCGCGACTGGGCCAGATTCGGCCACGTTTTCTGCCCAGAATGTACCAGCGCTGGTTCAGAAGTTAACCTCCCAGGCGTCGCATCCTAGGGCAAAGACAGGCAAGGCGGAGACTGATGGGAGGTGGAGACTGATGCGAGGTGGAGGCCCCCCCCAAAAAAAACACAGCGAGAGGCTTCTGGCCGTGTTCGGCCCCTGGGGGCCCTCGCTGAGCCCCGGGACCGTCCAGAACGACGCGGAATAAAACGCCGCCCCTGGGGAAAGGGTCGGGACTTCTGGGGCCCTGCTTGGAACAAACATCGGGTTGTCGCATGTCTGGGGGGAGAGGGGTGGGGCAATGAGCGCGACTGAACCTCAGCACTGCAGGGAGGAGGCGTGAGGGCTGAGGGTTTGGGGGCTGAGTGCCTCCAAGCCTCTGCCAACGGACCCGCCCAATCCCCGCTGGGATCCCCCCTCCCGCAATCTTGACCGTCGCGGCTTGGCACCCCTCCAAGGGCCCCTGGTTTCGCACCCCCTCCCAGAACCCCCGCGGAACCCTCCCCCAAAGACTCCAGGAAGCTCCAGGACTTCCCATAAGCCGCAAGAAACCCTGAAAACCATCGGAACCCAAAAACATCCTCCTCCTCCTCCTCCTCCTCCTCCTCCTCCCTCCTCCCCCTCCTCCTCCTCCTCCCTCCTCCTCCTCCTCCTCCTCCTCCTCCTCCTCCTCCTCCTCCTCCTCCTCCTCGCCTCCTCCTCCTCCTCCTCCTCCTCCTCCTCCTCCCTCCCCCTCCCCCTCCTCCTCCTCCCTCCTCCTCCTCCTCCTCCCTCTCCTCCTCCTCCTCCCTCCCTCTCCTCCTCCTCCGTCTGCGATGGAGTCACGACACGAGTTCGGCACAGTGGCACTGTAGATGCCAGATCATCGTGGCTTCTTCTAGGTTCGCCCGCTCGCTCTCTCGCTCTGTCTCTGTCTTGCTCGCTCCCTCGCTCGCTCCCCCTCGCCCCACCACTCACCTGGTAGAAGCTCGGGTGGCGATGTATCAGCCACTGGGAATGAAGAGAGGGATCTGGGGAGGGGGGAGAAGATGGAGGAGGGGGAGGAGGAGGAGAAGGAGAAGGAGGAGGAGGAGGAGGAGGAGGAGGAGGAGGAGGAGAAGCAGGAGGAGGAGGAGGAGGAGGAGGAGGAGGAGGAGGGAGGAGGAGAGGAGGAGGAGGAGGAGGAGGAGGAGGAGGAGGGGAGGAGGAGAAGGAGGAGAAGCAGGAGGAGGAGGAGGAGGAGGAGGAGGAGGAGAAGGAGGAAGAGGAGGAGGAGGAGGAGGAGGAGGAGGAGGAGATGGAGGAGGAGGAGGAGGAGGAGGAGGAGGAGGAGGGGGAGGAGGAGGAGGGATGTGAAGTGAAAGACGAGTTTGGGGGGGGAGGTGGGACAGGAGCAGGATGAGGAAGCGAGGGACGTGACGGTGGTGCAGCACCTGCCGCCTCCGGCCGCCCGGTCGACCGGACCTCCCCATCTCCTCGGGGGATCTACGGACCCGGGTCAGTCCAAGCCCGGGTCCGTCAGGCTTTTCGGAATCCTGCCATCGACTATACGCAAGAGTGACCCTGGGTCAAAGTGACCTTTGGTGCGCGGACTGAGGGGGCGCAGCGTGGCCAAATCCAAGCGCGCCAGCAGCCGCTATCGTATCGCGCCCAGCGATCGGGGGGACCCAGATGAGCCCGCACCAAAGGTCACTCCGGCGAAGGGTCACTCTTACGCGTACTCGATGCAAAATCCTGCAGGATCCTGCGCCCAAGCCCGGGCCAGAGCGCCTCCTGGCCTCGCATGGTCCTGCAAGATCTGGCGACCCCCGCTCGCGTCGACCCCCGTCTCTTGAGTCCCGATCCCCCAGCTCTGCCTCCCTCCCGACCCCCTCCCTCTCCGGCAGATGGCTGCCTGCACTAGAAGCCTCTCCGATGGGGTCGGAGTGGAGTAGACGGGGTCGGAGGGTCGCGTCGTATCGCCGATACATCGGCGATACATCGGCGGGGATGCGTTGGCGATGCGCTGGCGACGTCGGCGATGCGTCGGCGACGTCGGCGTGAAGCACATCAGGATCCAGATCGAGCCGCATCGCCGATACATCGGCGATGCGGCACGATCCTCTGACCCAATCTACTCGGACCCCATCTATGCCGGGCCACTATTCCACTACTACTTCCATAGGTAGCCTGGGAGAAAGGAGGATGGGGAGGTCGTCGTCGTCCTCCTCCTCCGCCTCCTCCGCCTTCTCCGCCTTCTCCTCCTCCTCCTTCTCCTCCTCCTCCTCCTCCTCCTAGTGCCTCTCCTATGGTAGCGGTGGTGGAAAATCGGCCCATCAATCTAGGAGGCCCAGACTCCCGCAACTGCCTGCCTGCACCAGCCCGCACCGCGCCGCTCCCGCTCTACGCTGGCCCCCGCAGGCTCCACTAGGGCGTGAGGGCGCACGCCGCGGGGGCGCGCGCGTCCCTCGTGGAAACCGCGGCCTCGACGGGTTCCGACCCTCCTCGCTCTCAACCCCGCCCCCCTCGCGCTCCTCCCCCGCCCTTCCCCCCTTCCTCAGCCCCCCGTCTCCCTCGCGCCACCCGCTGCGCCCTCCCGCCCTTTCTCCCCTCCGTCCCCCCTCTCCGCCCCGTCCCGCGAGGGCGCCCGAAGCGATGTGCACCACCACCACCACCATCACCACCACCACCTCCACCACCACCACCACCACCACCACCACCACCACCACCACCTCCACCACCACCACCACCACCACCACCACCACCACCACCACCACCACCACCCCTGACCGCCCTCTGCCTCCATCCTCCAGTTAGTTAGTGGTGGTGGTGGTGGTGGTGCGTTACCTTGTTCCCTACCCAGGAGACGCGCCGGGGCGCTCGTCGACCCCCCTTCCCCCTCTCCGCCCTGCCGCCCCCGCCCCCCCCCCCCCCTCCCAAACATGCGACGCCTTGCTGTTTTCAAGGCGGGGTCCCCGACGTCACGGCCCGTCCCTGGGGGGGGGGGGCTGGCTGTCCGCCCCGAGCTGCCGTTTCCGCCACGGCCCCTGGCCCCACAGCGAGGGCCCCCCCATACGCCGAGAAGTTGCCCCCCCAAAAAACTCCCGTCGTGGTTGCTTCACGACGCGAGCATGTCTGGACGTCCTCCCCTATGTTTGTTTAACGTTGCTCGGACATGGAGATCAGATCTTGTTGCGCCCAGGGAAAAAAACAAACGCTGGGCCTCAACTCAAGAAATAGAATCGCCGACTTAGGTATTGACCATCAAATTAAGACAGCTGTCAGCGCGGAGTCCTTCCGTTTTCCTCCCCCCTTTGCCAACCGCCTTCCCCCTCCCCCTCCCACGTGGCAAGGCGAGGGGGGGGGGGCGCGTGGAGGCGGAGGCGGAGGCTCCCCAATCCACCTGGTCATCTCGCTCTCGCACCCGATCACCCCGCCCTCACCCCATCGCCGCATCACACTCCTCACGGCATCGACGTGCCACCCTTCCCTGAGTCCTCGTCACCCTTCGGATTCTTCTGGGGGACAGCTCTTTCGAGACCCCCCTGCGACAACAACGATCGGCACGTGAACTCGGTGCGTCAGCTCGGTTCGCCAACTCGCATCGATAGGCCAACGCCGTGCGCCAACGCAGTGCATCAACTCGGTTCGTCAATCCCCCGTTCTCCCTCCCCCCCCATCGCTTCATCGTTCGGGATGTGGGCCAGGGGAACGAGTCCCCCCTGCCCTCTGCACAAGGCCCGCTGCCCCATGCTGCAGACGCACACCAGAACGAGAAGCAAGTCAGAGCGGGGGCCCCAGACACGAAGCACAGAAGGGTACCACCCGTCCAAGCCTACGTAGGGTTGCTCTTCGGCCTCGTGCCAACTGTACCAAGCTGAAGACACACATGAACCAGGCATAGAAACGGGTCTTACGCAACATGATATAGCGACTTGCGCGGGCCGCCAGCGCGGCACGCCACACTGAAAACGAGGGCGCTTACGCGCTAGCTTACGCGGGAAGCCCTGCGTCGTGCAGACTTGCAGACGACCCCGTGGCCCTGCGTCGCGCACATGGCTGGGCTCACACGTGGAACATCCAGATGATTAGCATTCAAAGGATCACTGACCCTTTGGGAGGGGACCGAAGTTGGGAGGGCCAAAACATTGGGGATAGTGGGTCTGTCCTGCAGATGTATCGAACCAGACCGCCCAAATGCATTGTCCAATAAGGCAAACACGGGGCCCTCGGTGAGGCCACGCCTTCGTCGTGCTAACCCACATAAGTCTTTAGAAATCCCCTGGCCAGTAGATGGATAATACATATCATTCGGGCGAATGTATTGACAACTCGGAAAAAACGACCCCGCCAGACAATAGCGGAAAATAATTATAGTTCGGGCGGTCCGACGACGAAGACGAAGACGATAACGAGTACGTGTGCGATTGCGACTACGACAGCGATGCGACGACGAAGACGAAGACGAATGTGCGCGGCGCTGTGGCGAGATCTGCACTTTGAACAACACGAGCCCTCCATCCTTGAAACTGTTGCAAGCTTTTAAGACGAATGTGCGCGGCGCTAAGGCGAGAGCTGCACATTGAGGAGGAGGAGAGGTTTCGGGTGCGGACGAGTTTCGGAACGAGTTTATTCACCGCCGAGAGCTCCAGGGGGGGGGAGAGCAAAACTAAAGACTTCCTCAGGTTATCAGGGCCAACGGGCTCTTTCCTTTTCGATGATCCGGAGGCCACGCGCTGGATACACGCGCGGACGCGCTGCGTGCCAAGCCCACAGAAGGGCCGAGCGCTGCAGAAGCACCTTGGCCACGCGCAGGCCCAGCTCTCGCCCAGACCCGGCCACACGGCTCCGCGACCACCGGGCTGGCCACGAGGTGCGCACGCAGCCATGGACCGCTCGCCTGCGCGCAGGAGGTGGCCCCGGGCGAGAGCGCTCCTGGGCGCTCAGCTCTAGTTTAACGGGCGAAGAACGGCATGAAATAAACTTTTCTTCGCTCGCTGACAAGTGGGGGGGGAGGCGCGGAGCTGGCAGGGGGGGGGGGAGGGCAAGCACCCGAGCGCGCAGGCGACTCCTGCCGCATCGCAGGCAGCCCCCGAGCGGCCCCGTGCCAGCACGCTCTCAGAGCGCCCTGGAGCGCTCCGAGAAGGCCGCGGCGCCCGACGCGTCCCCCGGGACCGCCGGCCCTCAGAGAGAGAGATCCCCGAGCCGCCCCAGTCCGAGGCTGCCCCTGCCCCGGCCTCGTCCGACAGCGCCTGCGCCACGCCCGGCCCTGCCCAGGGAGGCGCCGGCGCAGACCCCGGGGCTCGGGCACGGGCCCGGGCCCAGGCTCGCTCAGCGCCAACCCAGGAGAGCCTCCCATACCGTCTTGTTGGCTCTTGCGGATCGACGCTGATCGGCGCCAGTCGATGCTCGTCGACGCTACATCGGCGCTTATCGGCGCCGATCGACACGACGTCGGCGCTGGATCATCGATTACCAGAGGCTAGCACACGCTAGTGCACCCTAAGCACGGAATGACGAGCACACGCAGAGCCCCCATGATTTGCGAGTGCTGAAGGATCGGTCTGAGGCGGTCTCGGGGACCTCCTGACCCAGGTCCATCCAGACCCGGGTCGGTCAGGCCTTTCTTGAGCAGGGACCGACCGTCCTGGCATTCCTATAGTCATACCACGAAATGTTCTAAGAACCCAAGAATGTTCTAAGAGCAAAAACAATGTTCTTAGAACATACACCCGGTGTGTTAAAACGAAACAATCCCAGCCAGACATGTTCTAAGAACATTTCGTGGGAACCACAAAAGGTTATTAGAACATTGTTTGGTGGGGCTATAGGCGAGCTGGGACGCTTCGCCACTGCTTGACTTTCAGAATCCTGCAAGATCCTGCAGGATCCTGCGGGAACCTGAACCCAAGCCCGGGTCAGTGCACCCCATGCCCTGCAGGCTCCTGCCAGACCCGGCGCTGTGACTGACCCCCGTTTGCATCGACCCCCGCCTCTCGATGCCCCAAAAGGTCACCACCAGAGGCCACTCCGGCGAAGGATCACTCGTGCGCGCGCGCAGGCGAGGCGTTGCTCGGCGGGAGTGCTGCCTGCAGGCGCCGAGGGCCCCGCCGCGCGCACGCGCCGCGCGCCGCGCGCCGCGCGCCCCGCGCGCGCCCACGAGGCGACGACCGCCTCGGGCGGCTCACCGGTGCCTCGTGACCTGCACCAGGGTGGACTGCGCCTCCAGCAGCTGCATGTACTGCGCCTCCTTCGCCTGCCTGGGGGGAAGAGCAACGCCCGAGCACGCAGATACTGTCGGAGTTCCGCGTGGACATCCTGGCTCGGCGCTGGACCTTCTGGCGGCGCCGCCGGCGAGCTACGCGCGCCAGGGAAGGGTGACCCAAAAACATCCGCGCGGAGCTCCAAGAGTCTCTACGGTCGACCCGTATCCCAAGGATGCACCATAAGGATGCAAGGGCCGTGTAAGGCCACGCTGACACTTTGCAAGCGGGGCGCGGCCGACGAGAACGGCCCAGGATGGACCGCGGAGGCAAGAATGCCAAGGGTACCCTTGGGGGGGTTGCCCATCTTTGCTGTGCGGGCTGACTGTGTGCTGATGCAGCTGTTTCCTCTTCGACTGCCTCTGCTGCTCCAGCTGGTGGAGCGTCTGCAGCTTCTGCGGCAGGACGGCCTGGATCTCGCGCATGCGGCCGCCGAGCTGGTTGAGCTCCGTCTCGGCCTCGGTCTTCCGAGCCGCCAGCCCCTTGAGCTCCGCCTGCAGCTTGTCCGCGGTGTCCATCATCTGCATGATGGAGTCCTGGAGCCGCTGGGCCTTCTCGATCTGCTCCTGCCTGTTCTGCATCGCGCAGTCCACGGCGGCCCGGCGCGGAGCTGACATCGGCGGCGAGCGAGGGGGGGAAGTGAGAAGAAGAAGGCCTTCTCAGAAGGTTCAGAAGTCCCCCGGCCTTCTGAGAAGTCTTCGAAGCCTTCCCCGAAGACAAACACACACTTCTTAGAAGGCGCGAGGGCTTCTGAGAAGTCCCGCCGCCTTCTGAGAAGGCCTTCTCCTTCTCATTTTCCCCCGTCGCTCGCCGCCGATAGAATTAGGTCGGGCGTGTCCTCCCACAGGCGGATTTTGGACGAAAACTAAAAAATCCTGTTTTCTCAAGAAAATGTGTTTGGATCTTTCTCCTGTGAAGGGACGTGCCCGACTTAACGCTACAAAGACAAGCGCCGACGCCCCCAGTGGCCTCCGAGCGCCCTCGAGCCGAGCAAGGCGGCTGCGGGCCCCGCGCTCGCTGGGCCCGCGCTTTTGGCGCGCCCGCGCGCCCGAGAGGCGCCCAGCTGGCGCTCGCCCTCGGCACGCGGACGGCGCAGGCCCTTTGTGGGCCTCGGAGACGGCAGGGCCATTTTTTCACCGTTTCCCAAAAAAATGCCCCTTGAAAAAGGAAACGGCAAAAAAACGGCGACTGGAAACGGCAAAAAAACTGCTCCAGGATTGGAACCGGAGCCGGAACCGGTCAAACAACGGCGACGGAACCGGAAAAAAACGGCAAAACGGAACCGGTAAAAGAACAGCCCTGTCGTTTCCAGGGCCCACTAAGCGCAGGCCCATTGTCGGAGAGAGCCAGCTGAGCGACGATCAAAGCGTTGAGCAAAGGACCGACCGCCCCGGCAGTCCTGTAGGCTGACATATACACAATGGCACAAACACAAGAGCATGACCAGTGTCAACGGCAGGGGAACCAACACTGACATGTCCTGCGGCAGGGGAACGAACAATGACATGAACGTAACACTCGGAGGTCCGCGCGAATTTCTCGCATCGGCGCTGGGGCCTCCTGGCGGCGCCTCCTGCGCCGCCCCTGGTGCGCTCCGCGCGCCAGGGTGGGGGTCCAGCGCGGATCCCCGAAATCCTCGCGGACCTTAGGAGTTTTTATGCTTATGTCATTGTTTGGTCCGCTATATAGGCCTAACAAGACATGAGATCAAAAACAATGTTGTAGAGCAGGAGGCCCGATGTGTGGAAGCAAGACAGGCTCGGCCAGAGATGCTGTGAGAACATGTCGCGCAGACCACAACAGTTTCTTAGAACAGTGCTTGGTGGGCCGACCGGCCAGCAAGGACGCCTCGCCACTGCTTGAAAGATGAGTCTTCCGCGAGATGACTTCAACAACATCATCATCATCATCATCAGCATCATCATCAGCAGCAGCATCACCACCATCACCATCACCATCACCATCAGCATCAGCATCAGCATCAGCATCAGCAGCATCATCATCATCATCATCACCATCATCATCATCGTCATCATCAGCATCATCCTTATCATCATCCTCCTCTTCCTCCTCATCCTGCTCCTGCTCATCATCATCATCATCATCATCAGCAGCAGCAGCATCATTATCGTCACCATCACCATCGTCGTCGCGGCACGCTACGCTGGAGACGAGGGCGCCTATGCGCGACCTTGCGCGGGCAGCCTCCGCGCCCACGTCGGCGCAGACGACCCCCCTCGTGTTGCGCCGCCCGCCCGCTGGCGTCCTCTCGGCGGTGGACAAACCTCCCTTTAAGTAAACCTCCCCGTAGGGAAAACGGCCTGGGACCGAAACCGACGGACCGTGACCTGGACCCGCAAAAATGACGGCCGCGACGCCCTCTCGCGAACCGAAAACGGCCAATTCACTCATCGACGTGTCAGCGTAGGAGACCTATCCACCCCCAATCCTCTCTCACTGCTGAGCCTCAACTGGCTTGAATCGCGAAGCTGGGTCAGATCGGAAAAACGGGTCGCCTCGCCAGCGGATCGTCCCCGGCCAAACCACATGTCGGGTCGCATCGCCCGGCCCCACCCCATGGCCCCAACCGATTGCCGCCGCCGCGCCCGACTCCAGCCGGGCCCCAGCCGATGCCGGTGAATCGAACCGAATCGCATCAAATCGGAATTGCGGCACCAGCCGGCGCATCGAATCGGACCGTAGGCGGCCCTGGCTGTCCTCCTCCCCGTTACCCCTCCTGCCCCAACATTCACCATCGGGGTATCGTCGGTCGGCCGCCGCTTGGTGGCGCCGGGAGCTGCAGCGAGCGCCAGACCTCCGCAGATGTCATACGTGCGTGATACGTGTCGATGCGCATTTTCAGTGCTGATGCCCAGCCGGATCACATCTTCGATTCTCGCACACATGCACCGTAACATTCCCAGAGCCCTTCTGACTGGGCCCGAAAAGATGTGGTCGGAGGATCGCGCCGCATCGCCGATGCATGACCGATGCATCGCCAATGCAACGGCGATGCTTCGGAAACGTCGGCATGGAGAACTCGGGCTCCACATCGAGCCGCATCACCGGGCATCGGCGATGTGGCGCGAGCCTCCGCGCCCGTCTGCTCGGACCCCACCAGGGAGGCCAGAACTGCGCAGGCAGTCCACTGCTTCATCACGGGGTGCGCAAACCCAGCCCTCTAACGACTCCATAGCACGCAATAGCAGTCGCAAACCCCCGCAGTTATCGCCCCCTTCCCGGCGGGACCACGTCTCAAGCCTGAATCGCTTTGCGGCGGCCCCCGGAGCTCGCAGGAAACCTGGGGGACGCCAAACAACATTGAAAATATTCGGGTTGACCCAAAAGGGGGTCCAGCGACAAGGGGATGGTGCGATAGATTTGGTGCAATAGATCTGAGGGGTTGCAATACATTTGGGGTGTGCAATACATTCTGGGGCGCAAATGTATTGCTGGACTTTCGCGTGCAATAAATTAGTTGCAATACAAAGCAATGCGATTCTCTGGCGCAGTACATTTGCGATACGCTTGCCCCAAATCTATTGCACCAACCCCTTGCAGCTGGGCCCACTTTTGGGTATCGCCCATAAATATGCGTCGCGAGGTTCGCTCGAGCCGCCACAAGTCTGTGCCCAGGGGAACCCCACGGAGATCCTGGCGCTGCAAATTCTCACTGCCGGGCGCGCTCGCGCCCGCCTTCCCGGCCTGGAACCTCTGCGTAAAAAAAATGAAGCCTATACAGTCGGGCTGCTGAAGTAAGGAACGCTAAATAAGGAACGAAGCCCCTATGTGGCTTCAAAAGCCTGGGTGCACGAGAAGGGCTTGAGGAACAACCACGGAAGGACGTAAGGAACATCGAGCCCCTTCCGAATCCAAACTGTTCCTTATTTCAGCGTCTTGGCTGCACGGCTTCTGTCGTGACTTCTCGCGATGCTGCAGTTCTGGCGCACCGTCGGGCCTCGGGGAAGCTCGACCCCTGGACCTGTCCTCGGGTGCCTTCCGGCCGGATCCTCAGGGGGAGTCCTGCGCGTGGTGACGAGGACGCCCCCGGATGCCCCCCAAAACTTTCAGACGCCTTGGCCCTCGTACCTGCTCAAACATCCGCCGACATGACTACTTCATGCGCGGTCCAAATATCCCAACCCCCTCTCTAGGGGATTTTTCCGTCTCGGGGCCATATTTGATAGTTCTGGGGCCCAATTATCAACGGCCCCAGAGGCCGATATTGGTCTCAGCCGTCCCCATAAGGAATTCAACTGCATGTACTCTATAAAGGGAATCTGTTTGCCAACCCCGCGCGCAAGAAATGGAAGCGTAACCTCCCAGAAGAGAAGAAGGGGAAAGAGGAGGAGCAGGATGAGGAGGGAGTTCAGGTGGAGGATGAAGGGAAAGAACACGATGATGAAGGAGGAATGCGGAGGCGAAAATACATGGGGACCACCATTCCCAAATGGGGGGGGGGGTAGAACAAGAAAAATTAGATAAACATGAACTTCTGGCGCTCCGCGAGGCTTTCTTGGATCCGCGCTGGACCCCCCTCCCTGGCGCGCGGAGCGCGCCAAGGGCGGCGCCGGAGGCGCCGCCGGGGGCCCAGGCGCGGATCCGAGAAAACCGCGCGGAGCGCCAACAGTTTATGTTCTGTGTTTGTTTTTCTTCTTCGAGGGGGGGCCTTCCTCTCAAATTTTTCCAGGCGAGTGGCCCACGGGAATCCCACATGCTCAATAGCCACACCGTCGGAGACCTGGGTGTGGGGCGCCGGGCCGGCTGCTGCAGCTGCCACGGGGTCGCCGACTGCCCGGCTGGAGGGGGGGATGCTATACAGTGCAGTTGTTAATACATGTGATTTGTCTTACCATATGGGATCTTTTATACATGATTAATTTATGAATAAATTGATGCATGAACTCATGGTGGGTTTAAGTACTAAGTCCCTGCATTTTTAATACATGATCCGCACGCGGAGCATGTATTAAAAACGGCATTGTACAGTCAAGACTGAGAGGAAGTCTGCGCGTTAAGGATGCAAGCCCCTGGACGCCCATGTCGAAGCTTCTCGAGCGGGGCTGGCCATCGAAAGTGGCTCAGGATGGACCGCAGAGGCAAGGATGCAAGGGGTGCCCACTGAGAAAACTACCAACGGCTTCGACTATCCCGGACGGTGGGGGAAAGCACCGACCTGCTATCGGCGATACATCGCCGACAGATCGGCGATGGGCTCCTCCCGATGGCAAATCCGAACCTTCCTGGGCGGGGTGGGCCATTGGGCTCCCATCGGCGATCTTTGGGGGTCGTTGCTCTCCCCCCTGAACAGAATTCCCGCCCGTGCCCACATGTTTTTGCATACCAGGAACTCAGCTCTCCGGCGGCCGTTCGAGACGATCCGGGCAGACCCCCGGAGAGCGCTCTCGGCGAGGCGCCGCTGCTGGAACGCATCCCGAGGGCGGAAGACCACCGAGGCGCAACGAAGACATCCGAAAACGCCTATAGACACCTCGAGGCTCGAATCCGAAACGTTCCGCCCCCTGAGCCGATGCCCCCCCCCAAAACGATGCCCCCGCTCTGTCCTCCAACCTCGAAGGGCCCCCGTTGCCGCCAATGGCCGGCCGCCTGTCTTACCGCGGGCGCAGGGCACGCGCGGCACCCCCCAGCCCAATCGCTGGCAGTCATGCGACCAAACGATTTGGAACAACTGATCTGGCAGGGAGGACCAGAAGACATGCGGGTTTCTCGTCTGGGTCGGTGGATGTGGCCTCGCGGCCTCGATGGCGACGACGACGAACCTGGAGTACTTGTTGATCGCCCACTTCCCAACGTGGCGCTGCGACCAACCCTTGCATTCCTTCATCGGCTCTGGTGGCATGATATGCTCACGGAAAGATGGCTGTGAGGAGCCCAGAGGGGCGCATAGTTTTCCCCCTCGTTGCTCGACCTTGTTGATTGTTTTGCTCGGTGCAACACGTGTCCCCAGGGCCATCGGAGAATAAGAAATCTGCATGGGACATCTGCCGACGTTTCCCTTTCCGGCCGCCCCTTGGCACGTGACAAGACAAGACAAACCGCATGAAACACCTACGCGGGTGCAGACGGTGACGACTGGGACGCCAGCATGGTCACTCATGAGTCCAGGTCGGTGTCGCATGTGGTCGTCTGGCGCAGAAATCGGTTTCAGAGACAGGGGCGCTGGAGTTGACGAGATGGCCAATGCAGCTGGAATCAAAGAGATGAATATTTGAATCGGAGACGGAAACCAGAGTCGGAGAGGTGAGACGGAGTCGGAAAGAGCAGAGCCGGAATCGTAAATCAACCATTCCTGAGATCAGACACTGCGAAAACATTGCAACATCGCAACACAATCACGACGAGAGCCCTGGTCCCCTATGCGAAACGGATCGACCTGTGAGGGTCTCCAGGCCCGACACCTTGCAGAGTCGACCGTTGTGAAACAAATGGGACGCAAGGATCTCAGGTAATGCGGGATGACGATTAATAAAAAATGGGAGAACGATTAAAAACATAGTTTTCTACTATTTCTGCACAAGTTTCAAACTGGAGGAGAACGATTAAAGAAATAGCCTTCCAACCCGCCGCCGGTTTCTTCTAATCGTCATCCCGGGCGCCGCCGCATGAACACGACCCCCGGTCATTTATTAACCGTCATCCTCCATTATTTGAAAACGGAGTCAGAGATGTGGGGCTCGGGAAAGGAAGCCCGAGTCGGAGACCAAAGTAGACGAGTACCTCTTTTGCTGCTCCTGGGGCCCCCTCTGACCTTGCGGTTGCCCGCCGGCGGCGGCTCTGACTGGTGAGCGCCGGCTGAGCGCCGAGGCGCCAATTGAACGAACAGCAGGATTCGGGCAGACCGGCTACAGAATTGATCCATACTCCAGAATCGAGAGCTCTTCGCCGAATCTGTGCTAAAACGCAGCATGCTCGCAAATCAGCGAGAGCTCGACGTTTTTCTTTGTCCTCCGTAGGCTCGATGCACATTTCAATTCTGGGGTACATCGATTCTGTAGTCGACCTCCTACTCGAACGCCAGGAGCGGCCAAGAGGGGGGTGTCCAAGAGGGGGGGGTGCAAATCATGACCGGCGGCATGTGCGCGGCCAAGCGGGGGGGCCAGGGACGTAATGAAAGAAGAAGAGGCGCCATGAAATCTGGGGAAATATCATGGCCCCCGCCATGATATCCAACCCCCCCTAGTCATCAACCCCCTCTTTGCCGACCCCGAGAACGGTCGCTGGCCGATGCGCCGGTCATCTGCCGACAAGCCCGCATAGCGCCGACGCGCCAGGTCGTCTGCCGACTCGCCACGGGGCGCCTCCGAGCTCGGTCTTCTGCCGAGCACACGCGCGCCCCAGCGACCCGGCGGCCCTTCAGGGAGGCCGGGAAATTGGCACCAACACCAACACAGGGGGTTGCCTCCACAGGGGGAAGATGATCCTCGAATTCGGTGTTGGTGGTAATATTTCGGTCACTTTAAAAGCCAGAATATTACCACTATCACCGAGATCGGGATCCTCTTCCCTCGATGGAGGAACACCGCCGATATTGGTGTTGGTGTCAACCTCTAGGCCTGCGACCTTCATTGGATTCAGCATCAGCCTTCTGGGTGCTCCAGATCCCGACATTTAGTCGAAACTTACGTCCTAGCAGCAGAGGAGCTGCAACGCGAAACTGGTTGTTCGAGTACAGCTCGACTACTGAGCCGAGTTCAGCGCTCGCTACTGAAAACCACGACGTCTTGATTGCTTCTCAACGAACGCGGACCTCCAAAAGGTCTGGACCACTTCCCCTGGGTCAGTTCGTCACACGGAAAACCCCAAGGCAGATTTTGCTTCCGAGGCGGGGTCGGTGCGACCCTCGAGCCCTCCTGCTTGGACCCCCAGCTGGGAGGCCTGGACGAACAGAGGGCGTGGACAAAGAAAACCTTCCGTCGTGATTCCTGCACGAGGGCGGTCTGGCACCGGCTCCCCATCTCCAGGACGGGAACGATTGCGAGGCGGGGGTTTATCCATAGCCACCGCCTGTGAGCCGACGTCCTGGTGCCCCAGCGGGCGGTGGATATGGATATGGTTCCGCCCCCAGGGGCCCGAATATGTCCAGATCCCCCGCCTGCCGAGTCTCCGAAAACTGACCCTCAAAGCGGTACATGCGGATAAGCTCCCGCCTCGGAATCATGTCATGATGCGATTGGCTCAGGATGCGTACCAAGAGTTTCGAAATATCGTTTTGGCACCATGTGAAATCTGGGGAAATCTGTGACATCCTGGCGACCTGGGGAACACATCGCTTTGGTGGCGCGCCCAAGGGGAGGGGGCGAGGCTTTTCAGAGGCCTCCTGCTTCTCGGCAGGCGCCGGCCCTACATCTTCAGGCAAGGCCCGCGCCCTCTCCGAAGCAGTCTCCCTGTAAGAAGCCTGCCCCTCTCGCTCTGCCCCCCTCTGCGCGTGGCCGACTAAGGTTAGGTCGGGCATGTCCTCCTACAGGCGGGCTTGGGAGGAAAAGCATGCTCGAAAGCAATGAACAAGTAGCCAACAAAAACCGAAACATGGTGCGTCGACTATGTCTTGACAACTTTTGAGTCTCCCTCCTGTGGAAGGACGTGCCCGACCTGAGACCAAGGCCTTCGTGCTTCTCTGACGTCAGGGGCCCCTGCGTTGGCAAAATCAGGACGTCGCATGAGTCCGGGGGCGAACGCCCCGCCGAGGCGCGCCTCCGAGGGGCGCAGCGGGTGAACGGCTTCCAACGGGGCCGTAGGCGACCCAAGGAGGGGGAGGAGGAGGAGAAGGAGGAGGAGGAGGAGGAGGAGGAGGAGGAGGAGCAGGAGGAGGAGGAAAGGAGGGGGGAGGAGGGGGGGGGAGGAGGAGCAGGAGGAGGAGGAGGAGGAGGAGGAGGAGGAGGAGGAAAGGAGGAGGAGGAGGAGGAGGAGGAGGCGGAGGCGGAGGAGGAGGCGGAGGAGGAGGCGGAGGGGAGGAGGAGGAGGAGGAGGAGGAGGAGGAGGAGGAGGAGGAGGAGGAGGAGGAGGAGGAGGCGGAGGAGGAGGAGGCGGAGGAGGAGGAGGAGGCGGAAGGAGGAGGAGGAGGAGGAGGCGGAGGAGGAGGAGGAGGCGGAGGGGAGGAAAAGGAGGAGGAGGAGGAGGCGGAGGAGGAGGAGGAGGAGGAGGAGGAGGAGGAGGGGGGGGAGGAGGAGAAGGAGGAGGAGGAGGCGGAGGAGGAGGGGGCGGAGAAGAGAGGAGGACGGGTCGCCTAAGCCCTTCGGAGAAACCCTCCAGCAGCGGGGGGCCCTCGAGGCGTCAGATGCGCGGCAGGCCGGGCCGCCGCGGCAGGCTGGGCTCGTGCGAGACCTCCCAGCCGCTCGGGTCCCACTCGAGCGGGTCGTCCACGGGGCAGGCGGCCACGGCCTGGCAGTCCGCCGGCGGCGGCAGCGGCGGCGGCGACGACGACGACGACGACGACGACGACGACGAGGACGAGGACGAGGACGAGGACGACGACGATGACGACGAGGAGGACGACGACGACGACGACGACGACGACGACGACGACGACGACGACGACGGCGACGGCGGCGGCGGCAGCGACGGCGACGGCGACGGAGTCGGCGACAGCAGCAAAGGCGACGTCGGCGGCGACGACGGCAAGCCGCGACGGCCTGGCTGTCCGGACCCGGGTCCCAGTCCTCGCCGACCAGCCACACAAGATGGGCGAGTTGCGCACCCAGACATGCTCGCGTGGCGCAGATATCACACCGCGGGACATACTGTAATGTTTTCGGTGCCCACAGCCGAGCCCCGGGACCGCCAACGAAAAGATACGCAAAAAGCCGCTCAGAGGAATGGGTTCAGAACTCCAGGGGTCCACGCTGTGAAACGTGCCACAGCACCGCAGGTCTGGGCCCCAGCCCACCCCCCTGCGGGCACCCACCCATCGGGCCCCGCAGAAGGGTGAGCCGGCGACTCCGAGGGGTGTGGTTTGAACAGGGTGTGGTTTGCAACCCCCGCCTGGGGCCTGGGGGGGGCTCCGGGCGAGGACCTCGAGAGAGCTCTCCGCCGCGCACCGACGGGTGCTCATGAAACCTCTGGTGCAACGGGGCGACTCCCTAGAAGCCCCAGACTTGCCCCAAAAAGGGAGTCCAGCTGAAAAGGGGGTGGTGCGATAGGTTTGGGGCAATTGTACTGCACATGTATTGCGCCAGAGACCTGTACCGTCGGGGCGTTGCCCTAAGGAACCCTAAATAAGGAACGAGGCCCCTTCCTTCCATAAGCTAACCTTCGATTTCCTGTCGAAAACATAAGGAAAGCCTGAGGCAAGCTGTGAAACACTTAAGGAACGCGGAGCCCCTCCCCAACGAAAAGGGTTCCTTCTTCAGGGCCCCGACTGTATTGCATTGTATTGCAACTAGCGTTATTGCACGCGAGAGCCCAGCAATACATTTGCGCACTGGAACGTCTTGCACGCCCCAAACCACTTGCAACCCTACAAATCGATGGCACGAAATCTACTACACCACCCCCTCGTCGCTGGACGCTTTTTGGGGTCGACCAAACAAACGACGCCGACCGCAAGAGACAAACAGCGCCGACCGCCAACCACACAACAGCTTAACCACACCCATTGTAGCCGCAGGGTGAGGACCACAACTCCACCAGTTTATGGCCAGTCTGCCTCGGCGTCGAGGCCCGCCACCTGCTGCCGCTCCGGCGCCTGCGCCTCGCGGGTCTTGCCGTCCGAGTACCTCTCCCCCTCCACCCCTTTTGAGCTGCTCAGCCCCGGGCTCCCGCCCCGGGGCACCATCTTCAGATGCCTCCTAGGATTAACCAAAACAGGACCCCTAACCCTTTGGGAGGGGGCCTAAGCTAGGAGGGCCTCAACCATCAGGGATGCGGGGTCTCTTCTGCAGAGGTATCGAACCAAGCCGCCCAGACTTCTAATACCCCTAGCGCAAGGACGGGGACCTCAGTGAGGCCACGTCTTCGCTGTGCTATCAGGGTTTGGGGCTCTCTTCTTCTCGACGGTGCGAGATGGAGTCCGCAGGGATGGGTTCGGAGGATCGAGCCGCATCGCCGATGCAACGGCGACGCATCGGCGATGCATATGGGCGCCGTCGGCGTGGGGCGCCTGGGCGATGCCGCGCGCTCCTCCGACGCCAGCTGCTCTGACCCCATCCGGGAGGCCCATGCAGTCCTGGCCCTCGCCCCCGACCGCGCAGGGCCGTGGCGCGACAGGGGACCCAAATCTGCTCGCGTGGCTGCTTGTGGGCGTCTCCAACCGTTTTTTGGCCTCGGGGTGCCTTCGCCAGGCCCCGAGGACCGTCATAAAAACACCTCGGGAGGGAACATCTGCCAGGGGGAAGAGGTCGGGACTTCTGGGAACCCCGTGCGCAAAAAAATCAGGACATCGCATGTCTGGGGATACGGTCGGGAACGGTTGCTTCACAATGCCCTGCGAGCGGATTGCGTGTCGCTCCGCTCCGCGGGGCGGGAAGCTCGGAGAGGCTCAGGACGTGGACCCCTGGGGACTGGGACGTGGTTAGCGTGTCGCGCCGAGGCGTTGTGGACCGGAACTGGCGGCGCGGCACCCCATGCCAAAGTTCCTCACCGTAAGTCCAGGTCCGCGCCTGGCCATGGCGACGGGGATCTGGCCCCCGAAGGCTGGGAATACGAGGGGGAGGAGGACGGTGCGCTGTTGCCGCCCGTGCCAAGGGCACAGCGGCGGAGGTGGGGGGAGGACCACCACGCAACACGATGAGAGAAAGCAACTGGGAATCGCTTGCCACTTGCCACCAACACTGGTGGCAGACTCGCCTACGAAAAGGCAACTTGGATCTGACCTGGTATCATGCACAACGCCTCCAGCTTAACCGACACGGCGTTTGACTCCCTGGACTTCTGCTTGATGGTCGCGAGCCAGAGAAGAGCAAGATCTGATCCGCAGCCCTATTTCACTGCCGAGTAGCTGTTTTGTGAATGCTGGGTCGGTTTGATGGTCCCGGGGCCTATGGAAGGGCCCCAGAATCCAGAGGAATAAACTCCAGAACCCCATTCCTCCAAGACCCCGTGCTCTCCACGACGGCCCTGACCATGACTCATGACCGCTTCTTGCTGAGATCTTCGGAGAGTCCTGCCGTGACAGTGAGAGCCACCCCTAGGCCCCGAAAAGGGACCGGCAGAGAAAGCCCAACAACTTCCTGGAATCTGCGTCCTCCACCCTCCCTGCCCCCCCGCCTGCCCTTGACCGCGAGAGGAAGACGAGGGAGGATAGCGGAACACCAAATTGCATAAACACAGATGCTCTAACGTCCGCGCGGATTTCTTGGATCGGCGCTGAACCCCTTATCTGGCGCGCGGAGCGCGCCAGGGGCGGCGATGGTGGCGCAGCCAATGGGGGTCCTGCGCCGATCCAAGAAATCCGCGTTGACATTCAACAGTTTGGGTTTATGCTGATTGTTCGCCGTCCCTAGATGGAGGAATCATTGATAGTGTGACGCATCCACCTTCTCACACTCACGCCTCCTTCCTTCTACACTTAGACTCACTTTTAGCCAGGCTCACGAACTCTCAGACCCACTTACGCTGACTCATACTAAGACTCACTGACAGACTCACTCATACAATCTCTTTCCAGACTCGGCCCAAAACCAAAACAAGAGATCTGCAAGGACCTTGACCGCGAGAGGACGAGGGAGGAGGCGCACAGGGACACATCGTGGTAGGAGAAGGATGTGGGGCACGCCATCCCGTCCTCCGACTCGGGCGGCGGCTCGGTCAGCTGGCCGCCGGGGGTCTCGACCTGAGGCCAAATGAACAAAAACGCCATTACCACCACAAGCGTCCTCCTCCTCCTCGCTCCGTCGCTCCGCTCCTCTGTCCTCTCCCCTCTGGAGCTCAGCACATCGCTCATGCCATGGCCCAGCGACGACCTCTCTCCTCCATCAACGCTCCTTATAAGCAGCTCAGCCTTGCCGCGCCCCTAGGCATGTCGATAGGGCAGGCCAGGCGGTTCGTCTGAGACCTCCGCATCATTTCTGGTTTTGAAGCTTGACACTGACAACAATTGCACGGATAGAGCACAGGTGATTTTCAAAATGTGGCTCTCGCCTGAGCTCCGCACGCTCGTCTTAACGTTTGCAGCAGCTACGTTGACGAAACACAGGTCGCTTTCAAAACGAGTTTTTCGCCCTAACGCCGCAAACATGTATCTCAAACGTTTGAAGCAATGCCAATAATATGCACGTAACGTTATTTTCTATGTGTGGCTATCACCTGAGCGTCGCTCATCAAACTCATCTTAAACATTGCAGTAGATACGAAGATGGATCACAAGCGGTTGCAACATGTGGCTCTCGCCTGGGCGCCGCGTAGATTCGTCGTACAGCTTGCAACAGTTTCAATGCAATATTGGGGATCGTTTCAAAATCGTGCCCTCGCCTTAGCGCAGCGCGCATTCGTAGCAACGTATTCGCATAGTTTCAAAGATAAGGGGGCGGTGACTTCCAACGCCGCGCACATGCGATGTGTCATGCGGAATTTCGAGCGATGGACGGCCAGTATTTTTAGTATTAGGTTCTCGCCTGAGACTTCGCTGAATCCTCAGGCCCGAAGCTTGAACACATGTAGCACTGAACTGGCCCAGGGCGGCTCGTTTTCGAATTGGGCCCCTTGCTTCACACTTCCACACAACTCACGACCAAAAAGTGTCGCGCGACAGTTACACGGGTGGGGGGCGGCCCTTCTTCGAAAAACCGACATGTGTAGACAATCCGTTGAACTCTACGATCGTATTCTTCGCGTGCTGGATACGCGCGAGAAGGATGCAGGGCAGCTCCGACCTAGAGCGGGAACTGTACAACAATTGCAGGCCCAACTGTGATGCTCTTTCAATCGGGGCACGTCGTGTAGTGCAAAGGAAAGCATGTAGAAAAATATGAGGGAGGGACTGGGTACGGGTGTATTGCAGCATCGCTGATGCATCCTCGGTCTATTCTGGCCCTCCTCGTCCTCCTCGGCCTCCTCGTCCTCCTCCTCCTCCTCCTCCTCCTCCTCCTCCTCCTCCTCCTCCTCCTCCTCCTCTTATTCTCCTCATCCTCCATCCTTCTCTCTCATTATCCTCATCCCCCTCGTTCTCCTTCTCCTTTTCATCCTCCTTCTATTCTTCCTCCTCCATGTCCTGCTCCTCCTCCGCCTCCTCCTCCTCCTCTTTCTCCTCCTCCTCTCCCTCTCTCCTCTACAACTACACAATATGAAAATACTCTCCCACTTCCCCTAATGGCGTCCCGAAGCTATCCGACCCCCCCGCGTACTGTTTTTTACACACAGGATTCCCGGGAAACGGGTTTTCGCCTGCGTTTTTTTCCAAAATGCTGCTCTCGCTGAGGCGCCGGCCTCATTTCTGCTCCCGAATCGTTCCGAATCGTGCTCCCGCTGCAGCGTGGGCCTCATTTTCGGATCGGTGTTTGGCCTCCGTCGTTCAGGATGGCGTTCTCGCCCCAGCGCGGGCCTCTTTCTCGCGCGCCCATCCGCCCGCCACCACCGCGCCGCACCCACCACCACCACCACCACCACACCACCAGCACCAGCGCACCACCAGCACCACCACCACCACACCACCACCACCACCACCACCACCACCACCACCACCACCACCACCACCACCACCACAACCACAACCACGCACACACGCACGCACGCACGCACGCGCACCACCACCCACTACGCACGCGCGCGCGGAGCCACAGGTCCGCTACGACACGCGTCCGCGGATAGAGAAAATCAGCGCCATGGTAAGGGATGGGAGGGAGGGGTAGGACGTCAGATATGACGCGAGCGCACCTAGCTTGCCCTCTCCCCTCCCTCCCTCCCCCTGCCGCTGCTCCCACGGTGGTGGTGCACTTCCAGCTGAGACGAGCCAGGCGCACGCGCCAACCCTTGGAACATCCTCTCAGCATCTGTCCCTGGAGCCCTCCTGGGGCGCATCCAGGCCAGCGTTTCTAAAGGGGCCCCAGGAAACACAATTAAATACACACAAAGAAAAATATTCTCATATATTTTCTGGGCTTCTGTCTTCCCCCCCACTTCCCATAGTCTCCCATGATTTCTGGGGAATCGGCGATTAATTGTGTCTGTGTTTTTTGTTCCGTCCTGAGTTTCGAGCAGCGAACACCCCAGAAGCGCCAGGAAGCCGATCCCCGAACCGCTCGTGGTGGTGAGGTCGACCGGCGTCGCGCACACAACGGGCAATCAGCACGATGTCGGTCGCCTTCTAATCAAGCGGGGTGCTGCTTAGCTGCCTAGAGGACAGGGGGCTTCTTAGATGGAACCCTGCGTTTCTGAGAGGGCTTCTCAGAAACTGGAAAGGCTTCACTCGAAGGAGAAAAACAGCGTAAACATATTCGTTCGGAGGTCCGCCCAGATTCTTTGGATCAGCGCAGGGCCCGCTCCCTGGCGCGCGGAGGGCCCCAAAGACGGCAACGGTGGCGCTGCCAAGGGGGTTCCAGCGCTGATCCCAGAAACCCGCGCCGGCATCAAACAGTTGATGCGTATGCCAGTCGTTCCCCATGTCCTAATATGGAGGTGTAGATAGTGTAACGCATCCACCTCTTCAACCTCACGCCTTCTTCTTCTTCCTTCTACACTTAGACTGATTGAGACTCAGACTCACTGACACTCAGACCCACCCACACTCACTCAGACTTAGACTCACTGCCAGGCTCGCTGATACCACTCCGACTCAGGCCAACTCACACTCAGACTTACTCACACTCGCACTCGGACCCACTCGTACTCGGACACTCAGGTCCACGCATACTCAGACTCACTCGTTCTCAGACTACGCACACTCACATCCGCCGCGGACTTACCTTACAGTCGTGCTCCAACTGTTACGCGCAGACCGCTCACACCACACACACACACACACACACACGCCGTCACTCATGCTCAGAGCCACTCACGTTCGCTCCTCATACTGTGGATTGTTTGTGACCATCGCGATGTAGCACTTGGGAACCCAAGGGGGAGCCACCTGGGAGTGGTGCACGGGCTTGTTCGTGCCCAAATGGTGGGGACGTCTGACTCGAGGCGCTGGCGTTTGCGTCCCCAACTGTTCACCCCTGAGTGCCCCATGACCATCGCCATGCAGCAGGCACATCACTTGGGCGCCCCATGTGTTGGGATGTCGCTGGTTTTCGCACCTCCCCTCATCTCCTCGCAGAGCCCCATAACCATCGCGATGCAGCAGGCATGACCGTCGCGATGCCCCAAAGGGGGGGGTGGCCCTCGCCCGTTGGCGCCCAGACTGTAGCGATGTCTTGAGCGGAGCGCTGGTGTCTACATGCCTGACTCCTCTCCATGGTCATCGCGATGTGAATAGCATGGCACTCGGGGACCCCGACGGGCAAGCCCGCCGCGGGCTCGCTGTGCAGCGGATTAAAAATCGGCGCCCGCAGCGGGCTCCTTCAGAGCCTCGAAATCTGCCGACAACCCCGCCGCGCCCTCGCTCTTATCCGCAACTGCGGTGGTCATCGTGACAAATTGCGGTCAGGAACTGTTCCTTAGCGTGTCGCGGCGGCGGCCCCGGCGACAAGCTATGCCTTGCGAGCGGATAGCGTATCGTTCCGCTCCGCGGGACGGGAGGCTGGGACAAGCTCGGGACGTTGAAGCCTCGGGGTAGCAGCATAGCGTGCCGCTCCAGAGCGTGGCGGGCCAGAGCCGGCGGAGCGACCCGCTAAGTCCAAATTCCGGACTGTATCCCCCCCAACGTTGCCCCTGGATTCCGGGTCACAGCTCGAATCTCTGGCGGCCGTTCGGGACGATCTGGGCACCAGCGGAACGCTGGGACGCTCTCGGGGAGGCGCAGCCGTTGGAAGGCACCCCGAGACCGTAGCGCCGCCGAGAGCCTACGAACACGCCCGAAAACCTCCTCGTACCTCCTCCGAGCAACCCAGCCCCCCGACGTCATGACCTGAGGCGAAGCCAGGGCACGCGGAGAACTTCGAGTGAGGAGAAATCGAGAATCTCTTAGATCCGCTGCCTCTGGAAAATGTCTCGTGCGCCGCGGCCTTCTCAGAGCGTTCCGGCACGCTCCGAGTGTTCCGCAGCGCTCTGGAACAGAGCGATCCTCGTCCTGGACCCGTCTGACGACCCCCAGAGTCGGGGATGCACTGACCCCGGTCAATCCAAAGCCAGGTCAGTCGGGCCTTGTAGGATCCTGCAGAATCCTGCACCCAAGCCCCTGCCAGTGCACCCCTGGCCCTAGAGAACCCTGCAAGATCGGTCGCTCTGAGTGACCCCCGTTTGCATTGACCCCCGTCCCTTGACCCCCGTCCCTTGAGCTCGCTCGGACGTCCATTCCCTATGTTGTTTTCGGTGTCATGCCTGTTTTTGTTTGCAGAATGGTCCAGGATGCTCCTCGATGGTCCTCGCCCAGAAAAAAAGCACACGTCCGAGCGATGCCAAGTGGAACGGATCTATTCTCGTCCTAGCCCCGTCCGACGACCCCCAGAGGTCTTCGAGCGTCGCCGCGCACATGGATTTGGGTGCAGGATCCTGCAGGATCCTGCGCACAAGACCGGGTCAGTGCACCCCTGGCCCTGCAGGATCCTGCAAGATCGGGCGCTCTGACTGACCCCCGTTTGCATGGACCCCCGCCCTGGTCCAGGATGCTCCTCGCTGGTCCCCGCCGGGGAAAAAAGTACGCACACGCCCGAGTGATGCCAAAGATGGACCGGGGCTACCCTCCTCCTGGCACCGCCCGACGACCCCCAGAGGTCTTCGAGCGTCGCTGCGCCGGTCACCCTCCCCCCCCCGCTCGACCGCGACCCCGCACAGCACCTGCTCGCCCTTCGCGCAGGAGCCGCCGCGGCGGGGGCCGCGCAGCAGCCGCGGGAGGCCCCCGGCCACGAGGCACACGTCGGTCGGCCTGGGTGGGGCGTCGGAGGCGTCGGGCCGTCGTGGCCCGTGCCGCTGTCGCTGGACGCTGCACAATCCACGGGAAGGAAGCACGGCAGTGACATCATAACCTGGCCATCGCTCGGACGTCCGTTTCCTGTGTTTGTTTCGGTTTCCTGCGTGTTTTTTTCGCCAAATGATCGAGGATGCTCCTCGATGGTCCTCGCCGAAGGAAAAGTGCACACGTCCGAGCGATGCCAAGTAACTTGGGGGTCCGTGCGGAATTCTCTGATCGGCGCTGGAGCCCCTGGCGGCGACTCTGGCGCCGCCCCTGGCGCGCTCCGCGCGCCAGGCAAGGGGGTCCAACGCCGATCCAAGAAATCCGCGCGATGCTCGAATTTTATGGTTATGTCATATCTGTTCCCCTAATCGTTATCGTCATCGCCATGCTCGTTGTTGTCGAAGTTATCGTTGTGATTGCTGCGATCGTTGCTGTCGGGGTCAACGCTACGATCGCTGTGATCGCCATTCTCGATCGGACTTCTCTTTCCTGTCCCTCTGGCTCATCCTTACCAGCCTCCTGCTCATGCGCAAACTGTTCCTCCTCCTCCTCCGCCTCCTCCTCCTCCTCCTCCTCCTCCTCCTCCTCCTCCTCCTCCTCCTCCCCCATGTGCAGAGGCCCCCCCCCTGTCGGATTACATGGCAACTGACGGTTCAAACCAGATGCTGCGAATTGGGCACCGAGGCCCCCCCGGACACCCCAGTCGGCAGATACAGACGAGGGAGCAGCGGGTGCAGTGGGAAAGGGATGGGCGGGAAAGGCAGGATCTTCCCCCCCCCAGCTCCTCTTCCTCTCCCTCCTACGATGAGGTCGGACTTGTCCTCCTTCGGGCGGACTTTGGGAGAAACCTCAGACATGATCAACAAGTCATCAACAGGAGGCAAAACTAATAGAAAAATCGCCCCCACACTTGTTACACTGTTTGATTGTTCCTCCCAGCTATTCCTTCTGTAGAGGGGCACGCCAACCTTACCACGACGACGGTGGAGCCCTCCCGGAGAGCAGCAGCTGGCCCCCCGGCGGCCCGACCCGTGGGCCTGGCGGGCCCGAAGGTGAGCAAGGCGGCCGGGACTGCCACCTCGCGGTGGGGGGGGGGAGGGCTCCTCCCCGTCTGTGCTGGAGCAGGGGGCAGGATCGAGCAAGAGGGGGAGGAGGAGGGGCAGGAGGAGGAGGAGGAGGAGGAGGAGGACGAGGATCGATGGAGGAGGAGGAGGAGGACGATCGATGGAGGAGGAGGAGGAGGAGGAGGAGGATCGAGGAGGAGGAGGGTCGAGGAGGAGCCCGGGGCACCGCCCCCGGGGAGCGCTGCCGACACCACCAGGGCCAACGGGGCGGGCCCGTGCGGGGCGGCACTCGGCATCGCTCGGACGCCCCTTCCCCGTGCAGGGTATGGCTTCGGCGCGCGGTGCTTCGCAAGATGGGCCGAGGTGCTCCACGATGCTTCCGCTGGTCCCGGCACTGGCTTCGCTGAGGCAAACGATCGCGTCCGAGCGATGCCATGCCGCTCGGCGGGAGGCATCTCATGGACTTCGGAGGTGGCGGTGTCGTCGCCTCTCCCCTTGCTCCCGTGATTCCCAACGGGGGAGGGGGAAGGAGGGAGAAGGGTTCCTTTGGAGACTCTGGGGGTGCAGACTTTTCAGAGCTGCTCCTGGGCCCCGGAGGGTGCAGCAGCCAGAACAAGCGCCCAGACCTCCCCACGAGAAGGATCCAGAAAATACAGCTTGGCCCCCAGTGCATGCAAACACACACGGCTTCGCAAGTATTACTCCCACAACAGTCGACGGCTATATTTGGTCCATTTGCGAGCCTTGGACCCTCCCTTCCCCGGGTTTGGTTTTCCACGGCTGATATTCGTCAATGGTCCCAGAGTCTTAACGTCAAGTGGGCCTCGGGTCGCTGAAAATTACGAGCACTACACAGCCTGAATCAATTGACGCTGAAAGTTTGGCAAAGGCCACGGCGCGATGCTGCATCTTCGGGAGGCCTCCTGTCCCATCGTGCCGACTCCGCCACGCATCCGTGCCGAATTGTGAATGCGCGCCAGATCCGCTCCAAGTGCGCGGCGGGCTTGAGTCGGACCCCGGGCGAGACGACGACACACACTGGACAGACGAGGCTCTCCGAAGATCCAGCGCGAAGGGCGAAAGCACGAAGCCTCCACTGCATGGGGGGGGGGGGGGGGGCAGGCCCGGCGACAGAGCACGAGGTCTCGCGGCCGCCCCCCCGGGCTGAAGACACGAGGAGCACGGGGCCCGTGGCATCCATCTCCCACCTCCATCCCTCGTCCTGCTCTCCCTGGTCCTCCTCGCCCTCCCTCCCTTCCACCATCACATCCTCACTCCCCCCCCTCCGCTTCCTCCCTGCCACATCCGCCTGTCGTCATCCCTCACTCCACACCCGCCTCCTCCTCATCCACACCCCGCTTCCGCGTCTGCCGCCTCCTTTCTATCCTCCTCCTCCTCCTCCTCCTCATCCTCATCCTCATCCTCATCTTCTTCTCCTCCTTTTGTGTTGGTTGAGCGACTCTGAAGTGCAAAGGTTGCAGCGTAACCCTCCTCCTCCTTCTCCTCCTCGTCCTCGTCCCTCCTCCTTCTGCGTCCTCCTCTTCCTCTTCTTCGCCTTCCTCCTGATCCTCCTCCTCCTCCTCCTCCTCCTCCTTCTGCTCACCTTTTTTCCCCTGGCGATCTCAGGGGTTTATGGCTGGGGGTGGGGTGCTTGGTGATTTTGGTGTCCCCCCCCCACCCCCTCGGCCCTCCCGCCACCACCCAGACACCACAACACAAGGCACACACGCACCAGACCACGACACGTATACAGACACAGAAAGACACACATACCATACATCACAACAACGACACCACGCACACACACACACACACACACCACACACACACACACCCCAAAGTAACACTCTCACACACAGACACCACGCACACCAATCTACGCACACAAAACAGCCAGCATGACCCCCCCCCTGGACCACTGGGTCGACGCACTACTTCTGCCGTCTCGGAGGAAGATTCTGAGTTAGCGTAGGATGATGCGGAGCTTAAGTATGAGATGAAATTAGAGAGGATATAGGATGTAGGTGGTGTGGGTGAATTCGGAGTAGGAGTAGTAGATTGAGTAGGAGTAGGATGATGAGTATGAGGAGTATTAGTTGGAGAAAGAGAGGAGTTGGAGGGAGAAGAGAAGAGAGATGAAGAGGAGAAAGGAGGAGAAGGATCAGGAAATAATGATGAGAGTTGAGGAGATGAAGGATATTATTATTATAATTCTGGGAGTTTTTAGAGATGAGGAAGAGGAGGCGGAGGAGGGGGAGGAGGAGGCGGAGGCGGAGGAGGAAGAGGAGGAGGAGGAGGCGAAGGCGGAGGAGGAGGAGAGGGGGGAGGGGGAGGATGAGAAGTGGGAGGAACAGTAGGAGGAGGAGGAGGAGGAGGAGGAGGAGGAGAATGAGCACAGTGAATCAACAAGAGGAGGAGGAAGAAGAGGAGGGTTAGGAGGTATCAGAGATCAGGTCGCGGCGCAACTTTCGAATCGAATGAGGGCTGGCAAGCGAGGGGAAACTGAAGGGGACGGGATTCTGGACACTACGGTCCCGCACCCCCTCGCACTGGCCGATGACCACTAACAGGATGCCCCCCCAAGCTGCGGCCAAGCCGAAATCTGGAGGAGCTACCCGGCTGAGGACGGCGGACGAGAAGTGTAAAGCGGAAGATGTGCTCCCAGTCGAGGAGCAGCGGGGAGCAACATGCTCCTGGTCCTGTTCTTCCTCCCTCGACGTCCTCCCTGCCTCTCCCGTCCGTCACCTGTTCCTTCCTCAACACTGACTACCCCTCCTCTGCCCCCTCCCTGTCCCCCCAGCTTTTTCCTTCCTCCTCGTTTTTTTCTTCCTCCTGGCTTCCTCCTGTTGTTCCCTCCTGCTCCTGCTTCTCCTCCCCCTCCTCACCACCCTCCTTCCTCTCTCTCTCCTCCTCCTCCTCTCCTCCTTCCTCTCCTCCTTCTCCTCCTCACTTCTCCATTCCTCCTCCTCCCCCCTCCTGCTGCTGCTTCTTTCTCCCTGCGGCGATGCTCCCCAAAAGCCTCCTGCGTCGGTCTTTCCCTCCCTGTCCCATCATCATCCCCCCCTCCTCCTTCCTCCTCCTCCTTCCTTCCTCCTCTCCTCCTCCTGCCTCCTCCTCCTCCTCCTCCTCCTCCTTCCTCCTTCCTCCTCCTCCTCCTCTCTCCTCCTCCTCCCTCCTCTCCTTCCTCCCTTCTCCTCACTCCTCCCCCCTCCCCCCGCCCGCCCCCTCCTCCTCCTCCTCCTCCTCCTCCTCCTCCTCTTCCTCCTCCTCACTCCTCATCGTACCCGTTCCTCTTCGTCCTCCTCTTCGTCCTCCTGTTTGTCTTCCTCCGTCTTTCGGGGATCTTCTGACCCGGGTCAATCCAGACCCGGGTCAGCAGGAAACCAAAAACTGCAATGCAGGAAAAAAAAGCTGCAGCGCAGGTCTTCGCAAACCCGGGTCAGCCAATAGGCGCGGCCGCCTCGCGGCCACGAGCGGCTCGCTAACCCGGGTCAGCCAGAGGGGGTCTTCGCAGGATCCTGAAGGATCCAGTGCCCTGGCTGACCCCGTTTGCACTAACCCCCGTCTCCCAGGCCCCGAGTCTTTCTCCTCGTCCTCCCTCCGGTTTCTCCTCTCCCTCTGTCACCCCCCCAATCTCCCCCCGCCTGGCAACAGGAGGAGAAGACGGGTGGCGGAGGGAGGAGGGAGCAGATTAGAGCGCGCTGGGCGCGCACCCTCACTGTCCTGCTCACTCCTCCTTTTCCTCATCAGATCTCGTCCCTCTTCAACGCTCCCTGCTCATCCTCACTCCCCTCCTCTCCCCTGCCTCCGATCTCCCTTTCCACCCGCCTCCTCCACCTCCTCCTCCCCTCGCTCACCCGCTTCTCAAGAGAATGAGGGCCCGCCAGGGCTGCGAAGATGGAGAGGCTCGTGACGACCAGGACCTGCCCAGTCTGCACAGTGGGGCGACAAGGGGGAGGGGGGGTCGGAAGGCGGGACGGAGGAAGACGGGAGGGGCTGAGGAGGAGACGGAAGAGAGCGGGAGCGGATGGCAGAGGTGGGAAGAGACTGATGGCAAGCAGCAGGGGAGGGGACAGGGATGGCGATGCGGAAGAGGATGCGTGAAGAGAGGAAGGTGGATTAAGCAAGGATGGCTGATATGAGGGAGGCGGAAAAAATACTTCGGTGTCCAGGTTGCATTTTTTTCTGCACGGTGTGGGCATGGCCGCTAGGATCCGCGAGGATCAAGATCGGGTGGGTATGGGGGCGCCAGGGCAAGAGTGGTGACGACCAGGACTGGGGAGGATGGCGAGACGGGAGGGCGGCGAGGATGACACTGAGGACGAGGGAGCTGCCGAGAGCGAAGCGGCGGGTACGGGCGGAGATGGGCACGAGCGGCAAGAACGAGGGCGATCTGATGAGATAGAGCGCGGGGGGGGTCCTGCAGGGAGGTGGCGCCCCGAAAGCAAGGACCCCGCCCAGGGTGCAGGGAAAAACGACGGCGCGGGCACTGAACAGGAGCAGCGGAACTTGGCACTACCATTATGGAAAGGAGCCCCTGGGGGAGGTCCTTTTGGTGTGCCGCCCCCCCCCTCCCCCCCCTCCTCCTTCTCGCTCTTCGTCCTTGTCCTCCTCCTCCTCCTCCTCCTCCTCCTCCTCCTCCTCCTCCTCTTCCTCCTCCATCTCCTGTATCACGCGGGCACAGGCGTCCCGTCTTACTCCTCACTCCTCCTCCTTATCCTCCTCCTCATCCTCCTCGCCCTCCTCGTCGCTGTTGTATTCCTCGCTTCCTCTCCTGCTCCCCCTCACTCCTCCTCCTCCTCCTCCTCCTAAAAAAAAAAAAAAAAAAAAGAACAAAAAAATAAAAAAAAAAACAAACCCTCCTCCATCCTCCTCCTCCTCCGCCTCCCCTCCTCCTCCTCCTCCCCTACCCCCTCCCCCTCCTCCTCCTCCTCCTCCTCCTCCTCCCCCTCCTCCTCCGCCCCACCCCGCTCTCAGGGAGCCCAAGAAGGGCGCACGCGCCGCGCCCCGCCGCGCGCACGAACACGTGCCCCGCCCGCTCGTGAGGGGCCGCCCTCCTGTCGCGCACGCTCGCGCGGCGCGCCTTCCCGAGGCGCCCCGCGGCGCGTGCGGGCCGAGCGCTCTCGGCGTCGGCGCCGCTCGCCAGGGTCAGGTCGGGCATGTCCCCCTACAGGCGGATTGCGGGCGAAGTATCAAACAGAGTAGGACAATGCCCAAACCTATTCAAAACACCTTACTCATAATACGACCAATCGTAACATCAACAACACGAATAACAACAATAATAAAAATGGTACTAATACACATACGAATGCGAATTACAATAACGCCCCCTGAGTATGTTTGGACTATTTGGGAATACTCCTCCGGTAGAGGGGCACGCCCGACCTGACGCCAGGGCGACGGCGGGGACCCGCCCAGAGCAGTTCCTGCGCAATCACCCGAAGCGTCGACCGCAGCACCTCGACTTGACTCTACGTCGACGAGCGCGTTCCACTACTCGCAAAAATGACTACTCGCAAATGGCCTGGATCCGCCGTGGGGGATCTACGAGAAATTACATCGAAGCAGACATGTGTCTGCTCGGACGTTTGCGCGTAGGCACTATGCGAGTAGTGGACCGCGCTCGGGGACTACTAGAGGCCTTCCAGATGGGGCCCCAGAAGATTGGGCGGAAGGATCGCGCCGCATCGCCGATGCATCGGCGGCGTCAACGTGGAGACCATCGAACTCCACATCGAGTCGCATCGCCGATGCGTTGGCGATGCGGCGCGAACTGTCGACCCCATCTTCTCGGACCCCATGCCCGAGGCCCGGATTGCCAGGCGGAGATTTATCCATATCCACAGCCCGGGGACCGACGTCCTGGGAGGACCCAGCGGGCGGTGGACATGGATATGGATATGTTTTGGCCCCCGGGGGCAATCATGCATCCATATCCACCGCCTGTGGATGTCCGCGAAAATCGATCCTCCAGGTGGTGGATGGATCAACTGGGGCGCGATCCCACATGGCCCCCATGCGAACTCGGGTGCGCGCGCGTTTTCCTGCCGCTCCTGCATCCAGCGGCCCCAGCACGGGGGAGAGAGAGATGGGCCGCCGATGGCAAGTCCACACGGCCCTGGGCGGGGGAGGCCGTCAGGCCCCCACTGGCGACCGATGGGCGACTGGAGCTCGATGCGCTCCCCCCGGAGCATACTTGAAGGGGCCCTGCGACACGCGAATACATACGGACACATATAATGATTCCCCATCTTTGCCCATATGTTCTGTGTTTTTGTCTTCCCCCACACTTCCCATATTTCCCATTATTTTCTGGGGAATCGACGATTCATGGTGTCTGTGTGTGTTTTTCCCCTCCTGAATACTGCTGGCGTCGGACAGACAGCATGCAGCCTCGCTCCCCGAACAGCACGCAGTGTCCCTGGCTGTCCCCGTGAGGCGCTGCCCCGAAAGAGAGGGCCCCTTTTGTGCACGGCCCCCCCCAAGCTGGAGCTCGATGCGCTCCCCCCTGGAGCATACGGTTGGCGTCGGACAGGCAGCATGCAGCCTCGCTCTCCGAACGGCACGCAGTGTCCCTGGCTGTCCCCGTGAGGCGCTGCCCCGAAAGAGAGGGCCCCCTCGGTGCACGGCCCCCCCCCCCCAATGTGGGGGAGGGCGTATGACGAGCGGGCCGGCGGCGCCACCCCGCACGCTGTCTCTGGGCAGCGCGCACCGAGAAAAATGTGGGAGCAGGGGCGGCTTCTTAGAATCAGGTCGGGCATGTCCTCCTACAGGGGGATTTTGAACGGAAAAAGAAAAATAGTCGACAACATAGCCAAACATGGTCAAACATCCAAGACAGATCGTCACCAGACTCAAACAGATCGTCACCCGACTGTTTTATACTAGTTTCGAACACTCGAAAATCTCCTGTAGAGGGAGAACGGCCCGACTTTATGAGGCATGGGGTCAGGAGGGACTGCTCCTCGGGAGGGCACGGCTCGAGTCGCACCTCCCCCTCCCCCCGCGTAAGCTCCCGAGGGAGGCCCCCCTCGCCCCCGAGTGCCGCGCAGGCGCCGGGCGCCGCGCGCGCTGGCCACCCCTTCCCCGCCCCAAAATCCGACGCAGCCGCTGCTCCCAGGGGGGCGATCGCGCCTGGCGCGCCCCCTCCTACCTCCTCCTCCTCCTCCTCTTCCTCATCCTCATCCTCCTACCTCCTCTTCTCCTCCTCCTCCTCCTCCATCCTCCTCTTTCCTCCTCCTCCCCCTCTCCCCTCCCCATCCTCCTCCTCCTCCTCCTTCCCCTCCTCCCCTCCCCCTCCCTCCTCCCTCCTCCTCCTCCTCCTCCTCCTCCTCCCTCCTCCTCGCCTCTCCTCATCCGTCCTCCCTCTTCTCCGCATCTCCCTCCTCCTCCTCCTCTCCTCCTCCTCCTCCTCCTCCTCCTCCTTCCCTCCTCCTCCTCCTACCTCCTCCTCCTCCTCTTCCCTCCTCCTCCCCCTCCCCCTCCTACTTCCTCCTCCTCCTCATCCTCCGCCTCCTCCTCCACTCATCCTCCTCCTCCCCTCCTCTCTCCTCCTCCTCCTCCTCCTCCCTCCCCTGCGCCTCCTCCTCCTCCTCCTCCCCCTCCTCCTCCTCCTCCTCCTCCTCCTCCTCCTCCTCCTTCCCTGCCTCCTCCTCCTCCTCCTCCTCTTCCTGGAGCTTCGCTGGCGTGCGCCTCCCCTCCGGGGGGCGTCCAAGAGGGAGGCGTCCAAGAGAGGAGGGGGGGGTGCAAATCATGTATGGCGGCGGCACGTGTGCGGCCCAGGAGGGGGGGGGGCCAGGGACGCATTGAACCAAGAAGAGGCGCAATGAAACCTCGGGAGATGTCATGGCCCCCGCCATGAGATCTCCCCCCCCTAGTCGTCACCCCCCTCTTGGCCGCCCCCGATACTTTCGCTCCTGAGCCTTGCGGCCCCGGCACCGGGGCAGAGACAGATTCATCAGCCGCTGCGTCTTGGGTCCTCTCGGGGCGGTCCTCGGGGCCCACGGCCTGGGCCGCCGTGGGTCCTATAGCCACATATAGGCGCAAGGCTATGCCCCCTGGCTATATAACGCAAGGGGGCAACCAAGAGAGAACCGTTTACGGGGGCAAGCTGCGTAGCCATAGCCACTGCGCATTGGGTCTTGGACTCTCCTGGAAGGGGCGCAACAAAAGGCAGAGGCGCAGCGGATTCGGAAACCAACAATATCAAACCTCCGGGGGGGCTCTCGATCCCCACTGCGCCTGTAGGTGCCCGGGGAAGGAAGCCCGACTGTACGCAAGACTGACCCCTGGCCGCGGGGGGACCAAACACAGGCGCGCAAGACGATGCTACCGCCTCGCGCTCGCCGATCGGGGGACCCCAGTGGGCCCGCACCAACGGTCGCTCGGGCGAAAGGTCGCTCCTACGTGTGGTCGAGAAGCCCCAGGGTGCGAGGGACATGGGAGCACGTCTGGTCCACATGGGGAGGCACCTCCTCGCCGGAGGGGTGCCCGCCCGGAGGAGGGGGGGCGCCGCTGCTCCCTGTCCTGCCTAGGCACACAGGGGGCCCCTCCTGAGCCTCTGGGAGGCGACCAAAGCTACAGTCAAAGCCTATCGCAAGGACGCGTGGCAAGGACGCAAGACCCTTGGAGGCCGAAGTTGGGGTATTCTGGGCGCCCGCCCCAAGGGTACCCTGAGAGGCTGGCCACTGAAAATTGCAAAGGACTGGCCGCAGAGGCAGAGGCAGGAAGGGACCCAAGGGTACCCTAGAAAAAGCGCGCGTCCCTATCATGGGCGTCGACTGTATGTTCAATGGAGAAAATCAGACTCCAACAAAAAAACGCACGGGCCCCCTCCCCCAGACCCCCTCGCGTCGGGAACAACAAAAAACAACCTGTCTTGGTTCCCCGTCGGCAGCGAGGCGGAGGCGGCCCGCACAAGCGAGCGGCGATCCGGGGCCAGCGGAGGGCGAAGCGGCCAGCGTGCCAGCGCGGGGAGGGCGAGGCAGGCCCGGCGGCCGTGGAGGAGAGGGGGAGGGCGGAGGGCACCCGGATGCGGAGGGAGAGGAAGCACAAGAGGGGGAGGCACGCGCGGCCGGAGGCTCTGTGGCCCCGCCCCTGCAGGGGCCCTCACCGTGGGGGGGGCCAGGGGGCCGTCGACAAGAACGAGTCGGGACGCAGAGGCGGCCCCGGGCAACGGATCGAGAGACCTCGCGGGGTTCACGCAACGGGAGAGTCGTGAGGCGGCGGCATCCGCACCCCCCTCCCTTCAACCATCGATTCACCTGAACCGACGGGAGGCAGATCGTCGGAACTGGAGGCAGCCAAAAAATTGCAGAAGTAGAAAGCTTCGGAGCTCCGCGCGGCTTCCTGGGATCTGCGCTGAACCAAGTCGCGACAACCGAACCCTACCCCCCATCAACCACCGGCTCCCCTGACTCGCTGGGAAAGCGGGGGTGGAGTTCGGCTTTCGCGAAAGGTGCTCGACGCATTCCAGGCCCTGCCCCAGCCGCCCGTCGACTTGCACGACTCGTTCGTCGGCGAGGGCAAGGCTCGGACTTCGCCACGTCTTCGACGAGGTCAAAACCCTAACACCGCCGGCCGTCGAGTTTGAAGGGTTGAAGGGGCCCTGGGACACACAAGTAAACACACACAAATAAAAGTATTCCCAATTTTTAACATATTTTATCGTTTTTTGTCTTCACACCCACTTCCCATATGTTCCAATCTTTTCCTGGGGATCGACGATTCATTGTGTCTGTGTGTGTGTTTTCCCCTCCTCAGAGTTGCCAGAGTCGCTGAACTCGGCCAGGCCGGGGCTCGGATGCCGCCGCCTCGGGGGTCCATGGGTCCCCCGCGGCGCCCCCCGTGACCACGGCGCCGATCTTCACGAAGACGGTCTGGCACGCAGCGGGCGAGAGGAGGTGGCGCTCACGGGCGGAGATGGGAGGCAGTGTTTCTAGTAGGAGGTCGCACGAAAGAACTGATGAGACCATCGCCGCGGACGAGCGTCAAAGCGTCTGGCTCAGACAGGGCGGGCGGAGTCGTGGCAGCCAAAATCTGCCGGCCACTGTGCGCAAATAGTGCAAGGAGGTCGACTACAGAATTGACCTACGCCGAAATCGAAATGTTCGTCGTAGAAGAACGCGTAGGATGGCTGCCGTATCTCCTACCATTACACGCAGATGTTGCAGATCCGGCGAAACTTGAAATTTCTGGGTAAATCAATTATGTAGTCGATGCCCTACTCGAGTGGTGATGCCCAGACTGTTTGTACCCTGCGTCTCGGCGGGAGGGAGCGAAGTGCTGGAGGCCATGCTGTGCCAACGAACGCCTTACTGCAGATCGGCCTGAAGTCGTGCGGGTGGGGAGGAGGCAGGGACCGAGATGAAGAAAAGGACGATGTGGAGAAAACAAGGGCGGGCACGTGAAATTTGCAGACGGAGCCAGAAATCTGTGGCGATGCGAATAGATACTAGACAGCACCCTTCGGGACCGTGTTTGCGTGCATCATCCGCCCCTCTGAGACCAGCAGCATCTCAACAGAACCGCAACTTGTGGGCGGGCGCGCAAGCATGGAACAGGCCCTGAGAGGACACAGGGCCGAGGACGGAAAGACTGAGCTGTCAAACGACGGACTCGGGAAACGCCACGAATCTTGGAGGTAACTCCTGAGGAGCCTGCGTAATAACGATTCAGGGCTACTAGGCCAGATGGAAATGACATTGAGCCCGATGAGCCCAAATTGAGCCCAATATTAACGAACAAATGCCGCTACCGCTACTCCTCCCAGACCTCTGCAGGGCGCGTTCTGACAAGAACTTCGAGGCGAATCCAGCGGTTGCGACTTGGAGGGCCTCCCAGGAGGCCCAAAAAGACGAAACCGAAGGAAAGGTAGCGGTATGGGTACCTTTCCTCCTCTGATGAGCGGGGTCGTCACGAATCATTCAACGGATTAGTCCTGTCCTTGACCATGGAGATGCCAACGCCGAAGCCGTATCTCAAGATGGGCCAATTTACCACCACCGTCACCCGTCACCGTAGGATGGGGGAGAAGGGAGGATGGGAAGGTCCTCCTCCTCCTCCTCCTCCGCCTCCACCTCCTCCTACGCCTCCTCCTCCGCCTCCTCATCCCTCACTTGTGGAATCCCAAACCCGGATAACGGAGCGCCAAAAGGCCCTCGGAAGGCCTCTGGAAGAAGTTCTGACAGCTCTGAGAGGAAGCTTCCGAAGGAGCTTCTGGAGAGCTTGACAGCACACGTATGAGAAAACATGTCCCCAACAAAAACATTCCGGGACAAGCTAGAACCTCACGGGAACCGCAACGAGAACTCCTGCTGGAAGCCGGACCATCTCAGGGGCTGCCCTGCGGTGCCTGCTTCTAATATAAGACCCTCTGAGCTCTCCGAGGAGCTATCGGGGAATTAGAAGCCTCCGATGGGGTCCGAGTAGATGGGGTCGGAGGATAGGATCGCGCCGCATCGGCGATGCATCGGCGATGCATCGGCGACGTCGGCGGTGCATCGGCGATGCCAGCGTGGAGAAAGTTGGGTTCCACATCGAGCCGCATCGCCGGCGATGGGGAACGATCCCCCGACCCGACCTACTCCGACCCCATCAAGGAGGCCTAGAGGACTACCTATGGTAGTGGTGGTGGAAGATCGGTCCATCATCTCTCCAGAGCTCGGGCTCGCTCGGAAGGCGGGGGTGCAGAGCGCGGAGGAGGAGGAGGAGGAGGAGGAGGAGGAGGAGGAGGAGGAGGAGGAGGAGGAGAGGAGGAGGAGAGGATGACCTCCCAATCCTCCCTTCTCCCCCGTCCTACCTACAGTCAGCCCGCATCATGAGGACGCGCGGTAAGGATGCAGGGGGCCTTCGGGCGCCCTGCTCGCCCTCGTCGAACGAGGATGGCCAGCGCAAAGCTCGCTCAGGAGGGGCCGAAAGGGGCAGGGTTTGGCAGGGGGACCCCTGGAGAGAAGGCTGCCGATCCTTACTGTGTCGGTTGACTGTGCATGGCAGCGGGGAGCAGAGCGCGGGGGGCGGGGAGCAGAGCGCGGAGGAGGAGGAGGAGGAGGAAGGAGGAGGAGGGAATAGGAGGAGGAGGCAGAGGAGGAAGGGGAGGAGGAGGAGGAGGAGGAGGAGGGGGAGGAGGGGGGGGAGGAGGAGGAGGACAAGGACAAGGACATCCACAGAAGGGGGCGCAACGTCAAGACACCTACGCTGGTGTAGGTGTAGGAGGAGGAGGAGGAGGAGGGGGAGAAGGAGGATGACCTCCCCATCCTCCCTTCTCCCCCGTCCTGCCTATGGTAGCGGTGGTGGAACATCGGCCCAGCATCTCGCTCCAGAGCTCGGGCTCTTTCGCGGAGGAGCGGAGGAGCGGTAAGCGCGAAGGGGCGGGGGAGGCAGCGCGCGGAGGAGCCCAGGCCGGTATATCGCCCAAGGCCTATCTGGTGGCGGCGCGGGAGGGCTCGCCAGCACGGCCGCCCTGGGCTGCCACTGGGGGCGCGATACAGTAGGGGCTCGACCACAGGACACCTTCCACAAGAAACGTCACCCTGAGACCCCAGGGACCCCCATCGTTTTTTGGTGTGGGCACGTCGCGCTTTCCACAGCAAGACCATCGACAGCCAAGAAACCCAGGGCACCCTGGAGGCGAGCAGGGTGTTTCTTGGCATCGGTCTCCACTGTATGTGGGCGAGTTCGGAAACCCTGAACACAAAAACGTTCTCATCTCTGTTGGGGGCGCGTCTTTTACTCCCGCCGCCTTCCGCCAACCTTCCGCCGGCTTCCGCCGGCGGAGGCGGCCTCGTTTTACTTCCGCCGACCTTCCGCCGCCCCTCTGCCACCCTCCGCCGGGGAAGAGATGACAACGCCTTCCGTCCTCGAGGGCAAGGCCCTTTCCGGAACGCCTTATGTGCGCACAGCTCCCAACACACAAGCTGGTTCGGCACGATGATACCAAAGAGCTCTCAAGCTGTGCTTGCGCAATTTTTCCGCCTGGCTCCGGGACGTGTCTTGCGACTTCTAGATTCGAGCCTCGATGGCTACATTGCGCAACACAGTCACGCAATGATGCATTCATGCGTGCCTGCACACCTGCAGCAACTCATTCAAATCATGTGTAATCACGGGCTGCAGTGGCAACGATGCTTGGCATCCCCTGGGGACCCTCGGATCGGGCCGGCCGCACCGGATCGTCGGAACTGGAGGCTGTCAAGAACCTGCATACTTATGACGTTTCGGAGCTCCGCGCGGATTCTTCGGATCTGCGCTACACTAAGTGGCAACATCCGAACACTACCCCATACCAACCATCGGCTCCCCTGACTCAATTGGCGAAACAGGGGTAGGGTTCGGACTTAGAGCGCCGATCCCATCTCGGCGGCGAGCCCAGAGGGAACGCAGAGGGGGCGGGCCGCTTCAGGCTCCCAGGGCCTCGGGCCGTTCGAGAAGTCTCCCGAGCTCTCCCGAAACAGCAGGGGCGGATCGCAAGGCCGCGGGGGGCTTCCGAGAAGCCCCGCCGCCGTCTGAGCAGGCCTGCCCCCTCTCGGGCGCCTGGGGGCTCTCTTGGGCCCCACCTCGGCTCTCGCGTGGCCGCTCGGGACGATCCTGGCGCCCTCGGAGGGCTCTCGACGGGGCGCAGCCGCTGGCAGGCGTCCCGAGGCTGGGGAGCACGAGGCGAGCATCGGATAGCACGTCCGGACAGATCTCGAAGCTCGAACTTCGGGCCCCCGTTGAGGAGGCCTCCCGACGTCGGCGGTGCGCGTCGGCGACGCCGGCGTGGAGAACATCGGGCGCCGCATCGAGCCGCATCGCCGAGGCATCGGGGATTGCGGCGCGACCCTTCGACCCCGTCTGCTCTGGCCCCAGCTGGGAGGCCCATGGACCGTGGGCGCCGCGGGTCGTCCGTCTCACGGGGGTGGGGCGCGCCAGCGTGCAGAACAGGAGGAGCGCGGCGCCCAGCGCCGTCGCCAGCGCGCCTGCACCCGCCGGGGGGGGCGGGGTGGGGGGCGAGGGCGAACGGGGGCCCAGGCGCCACCGGGGGGGGGGGGGGCGGGCGGGCGGGCATGGAGAAGAGAGGGAGGTCAGGATTTGAAGGAAGGGAAGGGGAGGAAGGAGGGAGGTTAGGAAGGAGGGAAGGGGGGGAGGAGGGAGGAGAAGGAAGGAAGGATGGAGGTTTGAAAGATGGATGGATGGAGGTCCTCCCGGCGAGGTGGCATGTGGAGGCTGCGGGCGCAGCCTGTTCAGCAGGGAGAGCGGGAATGGAGGAAGGAGGTTAGGAAGGAGAGAGGTGGAGGGAGGTGGCGGGATGGAGGGAGGAAGGGAGCGAGGGGGCGGGGAGGGAGGGAGGAGAGGGGCGGGGGTCAGGGATGCATGGTTGGTGGCAGGATCTCACGTGGCCCAGGGGAGAGGGGGATGAGGGAACAGGAAGGAGGAGGGTGGAGGGAGGAGGGGGGAGGAGCAGAGGGAAGAGTGAACAAAAAGGGAGTGAGGAGAGGCCATGGTGCCGAAGGAGCACCGAGCGGGACCGTCGCCGCGCTCATACCGTCGAGCTGGCCTGCGTCGCGTGCCCCATCAGGGGGCCGTTGATAGACCACTGGGGCGACCTGCTGCCAAAGCTAGAGGCCACAGACAGCGCACCGACTTCCCGCGAAGAGGGGATGGGGAACGGGGAGGCGGAGGAGAACGAATGAGAAGCGGGGGGGGGCTGAAGGAGGGAAGGCGAGGCATGTGCGAGGCGTGGACTTGCCCATACCCACCGACTGGGAGATGGAGCTTCGGAGACCTCGACAGGCGATGGACGCAGACATATTCGCGCCCTGGGGGGGGGGGACGGGGGGGGCAAATCTATTCATATCCAGTGCCCGAAGATTGATCCCCCATGAGGAGATGATGGGTACATCCTCGCCTCGCAGCTTAGGAGAAGAGGGTAAGGGGGGAGAGGAGGCCGAGGCAGGTGGAGGGGCGGGGTAGGAGCAGCTTTCCTGCTCACCCAACAAAAACAACGCTCAGGAGCCTTTGCACTGAGCGCTGCCGAAGCGAGTTCTGACGTTTGCCAGACAAAACCAGCGATACGGCCGCAAGTCACGATTGACTTGTCATTAAAGGATTGGCCCGCAATTGGCGGGCACTTGTAGACTACACGCGCGCGCACGCGCTCGGACAGACATGCTGGAAAATGCGGGTGGTAAGCGCCTCTGCGGACCCCCTTCCCGCCAAGAATATTAACGAGGACGAAAGAAAAAGACACCAGCACAACCAGCATCAAGGAGCCGGGGAAAGTCCCCTGGTGGTGCGTCTTGCTCGACACAACTCTGGCCTCCAGCCTGGGTCCGCACTGTGGACCTCCTCGCTGGGGCCGGCCCTGCTGGCGGCTCTCTCGTCCCCCGCGAAATGCATTAACGAGCAGTGAAGGCAACAGGAACCGCAATTCGAGTGCCCGTCGCCTCAGTTGTAGTCCGTCAGCTCTGCGAAGTGGTCGCCCCCGAAGCACACGTCGACCATGCAGTCGTGGTCCGCCATGTTGTTCTGCGACTTTGCCTGGCAAATCTCGCGGGCGTGGTTCGCCTTCAATGTGGGGCAGTTGTTCAGGTCCGGCCGGTTCGGCGCCACCACGGGCGTCTTGGTACTGAGCAGGGGAGTGTCAACCCTCCCTCCGCATGCCTCCGCGTCCTCCTGCGGTCAGACACTTTTGCTCAGCGTGTCGTGGCGGCGGCCCTGGCGGCAGGCTGCGCATTACAAGCGGATCGCACGTCGCTCCGCTCCGAGGGGCGGGAAGCTGGGACGAGCTCGGGGCGGTGACGCTTGAGAATTGGGAGGTGGTCCACGGGTCGCGCCGAAGTGTGGTGGGCCAGGACCGGCGGATCGAAGCCAAAGGTCTCGACAGTATTCCCCTCGTCTTGCTAGGGAGGAGGGGGGGGGGATGTGGGGGCCAGATTTTCGTAATTCGCCTGCCCAACGGATTTGATGTTGGGGAGGGGAGGGGGAGGGGGGGGGGGGGGGGGGGGGGGTGGCGGGGGGGGGGGGGGGTGGGGGCGTTAGGGGGGGGAGATGGGGGGGGGGGGGGAGGTAATGGTATCATGTGGAGTTGTAAGAGTGAGCGCGACAGAGGGGGGATAAAGGAGGGGAAGTTTTGGGTTAAAAGAAAAAGGGAAGGGGTTGGTAGAATTTCTATTTAATATAATGTGGGTTTTAAGTAGGGTGAGGAATGATAAGGAAGAAAGGAGAGAGCCAAGAGTGCCCCAAGATGCCCGCCTAGAACTGAACGTAGTGGCACCCGAGACGCCAAAGTAGGCTGCGAAGACGCCGCAGAATGACACAAGGAAGACGGCCCAAAAGTCCCCTAAGACAGCCCAAGAGGGCCTCCAAGTACGAACCCCAAGAGCCTTCAAGAGGCCTCCGAAGAGAGCCCCAAGAGGCCAAAATCGTTGATTTTCATTGTTTTTTTCTATGTTTTTTGTGTTCTGGCTTTTTCGGCTTCCGGACGCTCCAAGACGGCCCAAGAGGCCCCCAAGACCGCTCCAAGACGGCCCACGAGGCTCCCAAGACGGCCCCGGAACGGCCCAGGAGGGCCCCCAAGACGGCCCAAGTGCCGCCCAAGACGGACCAAGAGGCCCCCAGACGGGCCCAAGAGGGGCTCAAGAGGGGACCCGAGAACTGAAAAATCGAGCCCTCCGCCCCAGAAGGCGCCCAGAGGTCCCCAAGAGGCCCAAAGGCTCCAAAGTAGGCCCCAAGAAGTCCGCCAAGAGGCCCCAGGAAGACTCCCCGGAGGCCCAAAAGGAAGCCCCAGAAGGCTTCAAACAAGTCTTCCCAGCGCCCCCCGGAAACGGCCTCTCAACAGACCCCAAGAGGCCCCCCAAAGAAGCATCTTGACGACGACCCTATTTCGCCCCATCGAGAGACGACCCCCAGGGAACTGCTTCACCATCAAAACTCCCCCCACAACGCGTCCGAACGACACCCGCCCCCAAGAGCGCAACATGGGCAACGAACACACAGACAAAAACCAGCGATGCCATATCACGGGCCGGCGGAATGAGCGAAGCGATTCAATAAATAAGCTGATGATGGTGAAGATGATGGTGATGATGATGCTGCTGATGATGATGACGAGGAGGAGGAGGAGGAGGAGGAGGAGGAGCCACGCGACTGCCCAAGAAGGCCATACTGGCCCCCGAAACGGCCCCAATACGTCCCCAAAACGGAGAGAGCTCCAAAACGCCTCGCATAATGGCATGGACTGGCGAGGACGCGCGAAGCGTCAACAATTAGATTCGACGAGGGGTCAAACATGGAAAAGCGAGCCAACGCTACATACTGCTTCTCCAATGGAACAGCGCCCGAACGCCCGACATCAACGCTAGGAGATCGCTCACAGAATGGGAAGCCGCCTCCGTCTCGAACATAGTCTTCCGGTGTGCGTGGAGCAGCTTGATCAGAGGAGCATCTGCGCCACCGCCTGAAGGGGCCGAAGAGGAAAGTACTCCAACCGCAGCTGCTGTGTGCTAGCGCTGACACCGCAGGGCCTTCGTTAGACTGATGTGCGCGAAGGGGCGAACAAGCACGGCAAGTGTTGCTGCTGCATGCCACGGGAATCTGAGCAGCTCAGGGCATCAAGTGATCCCTCACACCGATGTTGTTGCAAAGCGATCGTGCCCATCAGCCCCGGCATTCTGAAATCATGTGCTAAACGACAAACAAATATTTCTTGACGAAGCAGGGGCAAGAACGCCTTCCCCAATCGCCCACGCTTGGAGGCCTGGCAAACGCTGAATGCACAGGGTGGAACACGACGGCATGGGGCCTCGGAAAACTTGGCCGACAACGACCGATATGGCCAGTCAACGCGCATGCCTCTGCAGCTCGCGCGCGCAAGCGGAATCCCCAAGGCCCCCAATGGGCCACGCCCGTGCTCGTGCTCTCGGCGGCGCCTGCGCGGACCGAATCCTGAGCGCCCCTGACGCGCGAAAGCTCCCGCTGGCCTGGCGCACCGCAGCGCCCGCCCAGGCAGCAAGCACGGCCGCCCAGGCAGCAAGAGCGGGCCCGGGCCCGACTCCGCGCCGCGAGGAAGACGGTGCGGCATCCTCCTTCTCCTCCTCCTCCTCCTCCTCCTCCTCCTTCTCCTCCTCCTCCTCCTCCTCCTCCGCCTCCTCCTCCTCCTCCTCCTCCTCCGCCTCCTCCTTCTCCTCCTCCTCCTCCGTCTCTTCCTCCGTTACTGGTAGCGCATCACCTCGGGCAGGCATCCCAAGCTAGACTCTGTTTGGCCGGACACCAATGCGCTAAGTGTGGCCCGCCGTTTTGTTTGATCGTTGATGGACCCAGCCTCCCGGCTCCTGCGACGCAAGGCCACGGGGGTACTGCCCCGACGAGCCGCATGCAGCGTCTATCCTGCAGGCTCTTTCCTGGACCTGTGTGACGGGCTAGATCTGGGGGCACTGGCCGTCCTTTTCACTGCTGCACGTGTCCTGCGAGGCGGGGATTTATCCATATCCAACGCCTGGGAACTGACGTACTGGTGCCCCAGCGGGCGGTGGATATGGATATATTTCGGCCCCCGGGGGCCCGAATCTATCCATATCCACCGCCTGCCGAGTTCCTCGAAAATTGATCCTCCAGTCGGTGGTCATGTATAAATTCCCACCTCGGATGTCCACCTTTCCCCCCGGTTTGCACGGCCGTGGGGCACTGGACGTAGTTCTCCCCCTGCGGCGACCGTTGCACCGAGGGGCTGCCGAGCTGGTCAGCAGGTTATATCTGAGGTCCCGAGCCGTCCTTTTCTCTGCTTTCCCGCGTGGCGCTCGTCCGCTTGGCTGCCTGCAGGGTCAAAGGTCTTCCCCTGTAGGCCCAGCGAGGCGGACGCATCGTGTGCTTGCACCTTCGGGGCACGGGGGAGCTCAGGCTCTGATCTCCCCGACAGTGGCTCCCTGGGCGGCCCTAATTGTCGACACGTCTTGGGAATAGTCTCTGGGATCTCGTGCCGTCCTTTTCACTGCTGCTCCCGCTTGGTTTTTGTCCACTCCCCTCTGCTTGCGCGGCCGTGGGGCGCTGGAGGTAATTCTCCCCCTGCGGTGACAGTTGCACAGAAGGACAGCCTGTCGCAGTCTGCCTAGATGGAGCTGTCGGCGGTGCCGGAATTGCCCCTCCGTCTCACTGACTGTCGTATTTTCAGGCAGCTCGCCGGCTATTTGCGTTCATTTGCTTTGCATGTATTGCATTTAGCTGTGCGCCGCAATATGTTACGCCGAGCTGGTCAGCAGGCTCGATCTGGGGTCTCGAGCCGTCCTTTTCACTGCTGCTCCCGCTTGGCTTTCGTCCGCTTGGCTGCCCGCAGGGTCGAAGGCCTTCCCCTGTGGGCACAGCGAGGCGGACGCATCGTACTCTGGCGCACTTTGGGGCCCGGAGGAGCTCAGGCTCTGAACTCCCCCACTGTGGCTCCTCAGGCGGCCCCTTTGCCGACACGTCATGGGCATAGTCTCCTGGCCTGGCCATGGGGGCAGGCCCTGTCGTGGTGTGGCCTGTGTAACTCGGTCTGTGCAGGCATCGGCGCCGACGTCATCTGGTCGGCGGCATGTGGCCTGCAACCGCCTGCAGGCTGGGTGCTCTCAGCTGTCTGCGCACGGCCCACCCAGTGCGTAGAGGCGGCTTTTGACCGTCCTCGACGGCCACCTGGTTGCACCCACAGGCATGAGAGCGTGCAGCTGCAAAATCCTCCTCCTCCTCCTCCTCCTCCTCCTCCTC